ATACTAATACGATAGATAATACGCAATAGAAGAAATAATATAACTAATTATACAAATAATATGTAATTAATAATATAACGTATTATACAAAATAATACGTAATAATAATAATAATACAACATATTATTCAAAATGATATGTAATAGTATCGACAATACAACAAATTAATTCTAGAAATTTTTACTGCACTAAGTTAATTTATAAATATCAAAATTATTAAATAAAATTAAAATTTGAACTTTTAAATCGTAGAAAATTCTAGAAAATCGAGAAAAATACAAATACTCTTTTAAAAATAATAATAAGATATTTTAAAATACCAAAAAAATATTTTAACTAGTATCAAAATTTATGGTCCTTACAACAGCCAAAATCTCCTCTCGATTCCTTCCATGAATGAGAGGTCCACTTTCAAATTGAACGGTCAAACCTTACTATAGTTAGGATCATCTCAAACCCCACTCGGTCAAACCTTCCTATAGTTAGGCCCACAACCAAAATCTCATCTCGATTCCTTCCATGAACGAGAGGTCCACTTTCAAATCGAGCGATCAAACCTTCCTACAGTAAGGATCGTCTCAAATCTCCCATGTGGTCAAACTTTTAAACAATTAGGGCTAAGGTCGGAATTTCATCTCGATAAATGAGAAATCCCCCTTCAGATTTGATAATAAAATCTTTAAATAGTTAGGGTTATCTAAATCTTTTTAATTCTTAGAGTGGAGATCCCACTTTGAGTTTCTCTTTCAGTAGGAGATAGAATATAAAATTCTTCCTCTCCAGCATCGGGTTCGTCTTTGCCCCAAGAGAAGACACAATCTTTCAACTTTAAATCTGTGCCTTACACACATGGGGAATTTTATCCCAAATCCTAAGTAGGGATAAGTCAACACCTAATACACGTTGCCGGTTTAGTCTTTCGCCAAGTGAAAAAGACACCAGAATCCAAGTATGGGGATTTTTATCCCGAATCCTAAGAATGGATAAATCAATGCCTAACACGCGTTGCCGGGTAGTCTATTCCCATAAGAAAGATAAAGTCTATGTATTCAATCTCGTATCACTAAAAGAGTTAACTCTTTTAGCATAACGTTACATACAGAACGGACTTAAACAATTTACATGCTAGCCAGACTCAAACGGTATTTGGTAAATGTTCATCAAACCCGTTGATGGCTGAGGGTTTGTCAAAAATCCTATAAAGGCAAGAGTTATTGACGCATTAGCTTTATTAGTTGGTCTCGTGACTTGAGCATCCAACAAACTTTAGGATAAGATCCATACCTACAGATGAAACAACTTTAATAGTTGGTCCTGCAGCCCGACATTTGGGACCATCACGCTCTAATGCCTTAAGAGCTTAAACTGTGTAGACTCTAGCAAATATGCGAGTATAAACTATGTCAATGCCGGTCAACGTGTTACAGCAAAGGTCAACGCCGGACAACGTGTTACAGTAAATGGCGATGCCGGTCAATGCATCGATAGTTTCGCCAAAATAAGGCTAAGGAAAAATTCTAGGTTAAAGGCTGATTCTAGGGAGTTCAATCACATTCAGATACTAACTCCCAACAAAGACGATTAGTTCAATGTTAACTCAATGACAAGAGCTAAGTTCAAAATTTTACACACCAACTCCAGTTCAAGATTTCGATAATGGTCAGACGATAAACGCAGCACCGGAAGAACTTCATCTATTTGACAAAATACTGAGTAGATTGAAGACTAAAGAAATCAATAACTGAAGCCATTCACAGGTTCTTCTACGCGATCTCCTCAACAAAATACTGAAGAGGTTGAAGATAGGGTCTATCTTATCCAAAGCATTCCAGACTCATCTATAAAAGAATAAGTCTGAAATACTTTGGAGGGGGTATCTGTAAGCGTCTAAAAATGCCTATAGGTGTCCACACATAGCTCGAGATAGAGAGAAGATAATGAATGTCATCATTCGAGTCAAATAGGATCATCCAAATCTGTAAAGAAGCTAACGAGCACACAAAGCAAGTCAGCGAAGCGTACAAGTCGACTAGATGACAAGATACGCAAAACGGCAAAAAATACAAGTCCGAAAGGCTAAAAAATGGCTAAGTCCCGAACTGTCCCGTGGTCGCACGGGACACCATTTGGTGTCTCGCACCCACGCGGGACACCAGGGTCTGTCCCGCACCCAATTGCTCGAAAACGCGTATTTTGGTGGTTTCTTCGGGATTTCTTCGTTCCTAAGCTTCCCAATTGACTTGATATCATATCTAAGAGTGGTTAGGCCATTGTCAACTGAAGTTATAGCCAAATCATTCATTCTTATCCAAATACTATGCATCCTAAACCCTATAAATACGAGCCTATAGCTTTCTTTCACAGGAGGCGAATTTTTATCAAAGAGGAGGAGGTGCTGCCGAATTACAGAGCTAAGAGCGACGAATTTCAGCGAATGATAGTAGACCTTGGCTATTTTCTGTGCATAAAGAGTGGATTTCGAGAGATCTGAAGTCTCGTTCCCCCATTCCTTGAGATCATGCTTGGACTTGATCTCGAGAAGAATCGTAATCTCGCTTGGTCGAGATTATCACTTCAGCGATTACTTCCTTCGTGAAGTGAGAGTTCTGATCAATAATTCCGTCAACCGGATTCGATGCGTAGGCACTCACGCAAATAGAGACTAATAAATAAGATATGTGTGTTGTTTGAAAGAGATTGTAATTTTTATTTTTATTGTGCAAAGGTTTTATAAAAAAGACCAATCTTTTTTCTAAACTTGTTATAACGATCAAAGTTGTAATGAGTTATACAACGAAGAAAACAATTTCCGACACAAACAGAGTGCAGGTGTTTCGATTTGAAGTGCGAAAGAAATAGAATACTCTAGCAGGAGATGTAAAGTTTCAGGACAACAATGATATATCTTCAAGGGAGTTTGGGAATCAAATCCAATGTGAAGATTGTTAGAATTGTGTCTTTGTTTTTGTATAGTTTCATGAGAACTAGATAGGGTTAGAGATCTATCATGATTAGGAGATTGAGTCTCATCATGATTAGGAATTTGAATACTATTCTAATTAGGAAGTTAGGCTAGAGATATAGTTTTGGTTTCCCTATATATATTCTTCTATTGTTGGAGGAAAAACCAAGCACAGGAGAGAGAGCCAATATTCTTGTAATATAGGGTAGCAGAGGGCATAACTTGATTCAAGAATATTGTGTGAGAGGCGAGGATTTCATAGTCTTTTTCTGTGCAAAAGAGTACATCATTGGGAGAGGGTTTCACAGTCTTTATCCATTCAAAAGATTGTAAGGAGAGGGCTTTGGAGATAATATGAGAGTTGATTATGTATGTGAGGTTGAGAGATTGAGAGATGAGAGTTGAGTGGTTCTTCTTGTAATTCTCCCTAATACATAGTGGATTTCTCGTATTGTTGCTCGTGGACGTAGGTCGAAGTTGGTCGACCGAACCACGTAAATCTTGGTGTTCTTTCTTCTTGATTGTGATTATTTTCTATCATGTTAATTGTGGTTGGCTTCTGAGTTGCGCAGATCGTAATAAGCGGGGTGACTAAAATTCCCCGACAAATATATATACTGGCTTATAGAAGTTCTTGAATCAAAGCTTCAGTGGTTTTTTTATAAGATATACTTTTATTCAACAGGGTATCAAAGATGGCTCCAGCAAGTGAAAGTACTATCATAATTAGTGGCATCGCTATTGGCCTCGCAGATCAACTAGGGGTGTGCAACGGTCGGTTCGGTTCGGTTTTTATCAAAATTTGAACAACCGAACCGAACCACCTATAATTCAAAACCGAACTGAACTGTTGCAAGTCGGTTCGGTGCGGTGCGGTTCGGTTCGGTTTGTTCGGTTCTAACTTCATCAAACTTCTTATCAAACAACAAACCGTGTTAAAGAAAAAAAAAGATATCAACAAAGTAGGAGATTATGAAGCATTAAACACTGATATAATGATATTGTTTTTAACCCATAATGATTCAGAAAATGAGTTTAGGGTTTGAGTCTTTGACTCTTTAGGGACGGGTCGGGTAGGGTTTGAGATCAGAATGGGTAGTATTGTACTATATTTGGTCGGTTCGGGTCGGTTCGGGTTGAAAAGTTTTCAAACCGATCCGAACCGTCCTACTCATAAAACCGATTTTTTCGGGTCGGTTCGATCGGTTTTTTCGGTTTGGACCGAACCATGCTCAGCCCTAAGATCAACTACCTCAATCAAGTAAAGAGATGTGAAATTTAATTTATTTGCAAGTATGTAGATATAATAATGGTATAATATTATGTTATATTAAAATATATAATGTTATATATTTGATACCATAATGTTATTTTAATAATATTATATAATTTAATTAAATATATTACTAATGGAAAATAACATGTAATGAATATAATATAATATAATATATTAATATTATAATACATTATAATATAATATATTGTATTGTAATTTAATGTATCCTATTATAATAATTAATAGTATGTTTAATATTAATGTTAGAGGTCAAACTAGTATTGGCAAAAAATATTCGAACAGAGAGATGTTTAAGATTAGGAATTTTTAGGAATAGTTTTAGCCCCACATAAATATCAATTGATATTTGATTTTACCTTGCACCGCTAGATTGCTCTAATCTTCTCACATTTATAATTATATCACACAAATTGAAAAAATCATCATTTTTCATAAACTTTCAATTGATCATCAATTAAAATTAAGAAATTTTTTTCCTAATAATCTCATTTTGTAAAAAGTTAAATAATCGAACTTTCTAACTAATAGTTTATTACTATAGATAAAAGCTACTGCAAAAATTTACTAAAACCATATTGATAATAAAGATTTATCATTTCATTTTATCCATGGCCTTTATAGTCACTCCTATCAAGGTCCATCTACAAGGGGCTCATGGGCTATTCAAAGGCCCAAGAAACTTCCAGAATCCTTCCCGAAAAGCCCCTCACAAAGCCCTAGCCTCTTTGCCCTAACTGCCCCTCTTCTCCCCAAAACTTTCCCTCTCCTCAAGAAACACAACAGTGAACAAAGCTCTCGCTTCGCTCCTCCTCCAAAGAAGTGGGCTCATTTTCCCCACTTTTTAAGAAAATTAAAAAAAAGAAAAAACCCAAAAAATTGCATCTTGATTGCTCGCAATTTCTCCTACTATGAGGTCGCAAGGTGCAAAGGTCGCCCTTTTATTCACTCGAAGTTTCCGCAAACCGCCGCTTAGAACTGTTAGTCTTCCTTTATTCCCAAATTTGTTGATTTTTTTGAATTACAAGCTTTCAAGTTTTGATCATATTTTTTCCTTGATTGAATGCTTGCAGTCGGAGCAATTGTCACGATGGATTAGCACTTCGTCGTCTAGGGTTTTCTCGGGGTCGAGTTTTGAAAAAGGTTGGGTTTTTTTTTTCCTTGTATTTGAATCGAAAATTTTAGTTAACTTTTGTTTGGTATTTTGATTGATGTGTTTAGTCAATAAACTTTACAGGAAAATGGAAGAATAGTGATCACAGTGGTGTCTTTTATATGAATGGATACCCAAAAAGATATTTTCATGGTAGGTTTAACTCTTTGCAATAACAACTTTACATCCTTTTTTTTGCCTCTTTTCTACTTTTTGGTGTTTATCTTTCAATCTCTTAGGAACGAGACCGGTGTCTGTGAGAGATTACTATGATGTATTGGGAGTCAGCAAAAATGCAACATCGTCAGATATTAAGAAAGCCTATTATGCGGTAGGCTCCATTCTCATTAATGTCTTCTAACTGGTTATTTAGTTTCGTAAATTGTAATTTGCCGCCAAACGGGCTTATGATTATTCTGTTTCCCGTCGTCATAGTTTGCTTAAGTTTCAGTGTTACATATCCTAATTTTGTCTTATCACAGTTCACACAGTTAATTGTTGGCCGGACTGTTCGTTTTCATTTCAATCGTACTTTGTTCTGTCATAAATAAAGATATCATATGTTTACATTTAAGTGGACGTTATCCATAATTGATTCATCTATCAAAGTTTATCATCTGTCTAGCTCCAAGAAGATATTTTGTCCTTTTCCTCATTTAGCCGAAGAAATTGCTTATTGAGTTCATAAAAGTTGATGAATTTTGTTCCGTACTACAGAAAGTTTGGGAAAAGTAATGGGCAAGAGAAACGATATCAAGTAGAGGGAGGTTAGAGCACATCATAGAATATCAAGGAAACGATGCAAACAGGGGAAACTCATAAGTGTGGAGGCTGTGGCTAGTGTAGGCACTTTCTAATTCAGAACCTATGCCCAAGAGGATTAATGTACTTTATAACGTATACCCAAGAGGCTTAATGTATTTCCTAACATAGATCCTATACGCAAGGATGCATAATATCTTAAGTGTTTCTATGTACTTTCTTAGATGGGTTATTTCGGTATTAGCCATTCAAAAATTTAGTAATAACAATTCTTCTAATTGCCTGCAATTTGGTCCATCTGGTAAGTTGGTGTTAGATTCAAGGGGAATATTCCGTTTTAATTAACTTTTTTGAGCAGTTTTCCAGTCACCTCATTTGCTTTAAACCAAACCTGACCTGTTTGTGTAATTAGGTATTCCCTTTTCTAATGAGTTTAAAGCCAGACCCATTAAGAAAAAAGCCCAAACCCAGATGTCTCATCTTGTCTGATGATCATATTCCCCTATACCCATATGACAACGGTCTTCTTCCCTCTAATCTCTATAAAATCCCAAGGGAAGTTGCATGAATCCGTCACAAAGAGGACCCACCCCATTATCTATCTTAGTTCTAATCCATATTGAAGTATTTTAACCTCTCTTTTCTTCAATGAGATACGACCCCTTTCCTTCGATTATTGCCCTAGTGTCCTTCAACAAGCCCTCAGACTCTGATTAATATGTGCAATTTTGAAGAAGAATGCGAAATGATGGAAATTTAGGGAAGATTTGTAGGAATTAAAGTGTATTTTGGTGAGATTTTACCCCCTTCCTGTCATCAGAAAAGAGAGTAGAGAGATTCTTTTTGGGGGGGAAACCTTGAGCAAGGACAATATGGTAATTAGTCATGCTAGATTATAAGCAAACCCAACCCTGGTCAGCTAACTATGGAGTAATTTTAATAGAGCGACTGAATTGCAAACAATTTGAAGATCTGAGGGGTCTAATAGCAATTTCGATGGATTTAGAGAGGAATATGGATTACGGAAGATTTGAGGGACTAATATCGTAAAAGCACTTCTTAAATTTAATAATTCCATCTTTTCAGATGTTGGCATGTGTTGAATGCCATTAAGAGCCAAATGGAAAAAAGTGGAGTAATGTAGCTGACTCCAAATATTCGGGATGAAAAGTGTTTTTGTTCTTGTTTTTACATATTACATATGATGATACTTCTTTTTAAGTGATATTTATGCTACAACTTTTGATTAGGGCAGTAAGTGTCCAATCAGGTGTGATGGGTAATATATTAACAATATTTGTCTCATTCATGATTTTGTTTCTTTTAGGCCTACACTGGATCTTTTGGTATGAATTTGATTTAAATATGAAAGCACCCTCTGTTACCTTCTCTCCTAGCCATGAGCTCTTTTGGGTTCTTCTTAAGAGGCTCTCACCTTCTGCTGCACCGTAGCTGTCCTGCATATTATTTTCCATATCCAGCAAATTGGCATCAACTAGTGGGTGAGGTTGATGTCTGGTTGGATAGTTGGAAAATACTGGTCCATTATTTCATGCAATTGTCATGACCTTGTAAGTCATGATCTATGCTGATCATATTTTAGATGGGAAAAATGCTTAGTTATATCATATATGATGCAGATGATGATAATACACCATAGTCCGTAGTACCTAACATCAAAGGTTGGAAGTGTTATCCTGGTCAAGATGAGCAAACTTGTTTTAGCTGATAATTTTCTATATGATAATTGATAATGATGAGACACTATACTAGTATCTATTAGCAAATGCTTAGAGTAGTGGTTTTGGTCAAAAGTTTGACAGCTAAATATTTGTGAAAATCTTTCATCTTTGCCCTTTGTGCAGAATTTGCATATTATTTTTGCTTAGCGGGGTTATGGGTTGAGGATTTTTTTATTGAAAGTAGGACTTTTTTTAGGATTTAACTTTAAGGTGATATTGGTTTAGAACTAGGAATTGGATTTTAACTTTAATGTGTTATTGGTTTAGGATTCGGATTTAACTTTGTGGTGTTATTAGTTTAGGATTATTATTAAGACTAGGATTTCAAAATCCAAATCCCTATCCTACTCCATACATTCTAGTGAGTAAATTTCAAGGAAAAGTCCAAGTTAAAATTGAAGGATTGTGATCTTCGTCCTAGGATTTTCTCTTTCCCCTTCCTTTAATGAGTGCACATTTTAAAAAAACACTACTAACTAATATTTACAAAACATTTATAGTTAATATTAAATATTAATATTTTATATTGTATAGTTATTCAATAAAATAATAAATATATTCAATTTTAACTATTTTTTAATTAACTCTTTAAATAATATAAAGTACATTTCCTCATGGCTTTTTACATATACGGTTCTTAAGTTCTTTTTTATTCTTGATGTAACTGGCAATATCCAGCTGGCAAAGAAGCTACATCCTGACACAAATAAAGATGATGCTGAAGCAGAAAGAAAATTCCAAGAAGTTTCACGTGCTTACGAGGTAGTTTATCAAAATTATGTGTTATTTCTCTCATGTTATTCATTTTATCACTTTAACTTTTACCATATTGTTATTTATTCCAAAAAAATTGTTTAAATGTTCTCTTTTTCTTTTCAGGTTCTAAAGGATGACGAAAAGCGATCACTTTATGACCAGGTGATTCTGGCTATAGTTTAATAGAACTTTATTTGATATGGATGTAGAAAAGGTAGATTATAATTCTCCAAATGCTGATTATGATAATGTAGAAGTTACCTAGATAGATTCTAATTTTTTGTTCAGTCATCATAAATGATTATCTTGTCCAGAGAACTGTGGTGTGGAATGTCTACTACACAAGAGAACTTGTCTTTTTTGCTTCTTCAGCTTGAAGTGCTGATTTATATGTAATATCCTTTAATATTTTTGTAACATAATCTTGTATACTGAAATTAAAACAGAAGGGGCATTAACTCGTTTGCATTCCCAAAATATTGCTCTTACATGTTCGTGAGATTTTATGTAGAAAATTTGTTTCATTAGGATTTAGTATTAAATATTTACATGCGAAGCAGGGGGACCAAAAGTTGTATGTTATCTGATGAGTTCCTTTTTGTTATTAATGGCATCTTGCAGGTTGGTCCTGATGCATTCGAACAAGCTGCTTCAGGAGGTGCCCCTGGTGGGGGGCCATATGGTGGTGGTGGATTCAATCCATTTGAGGATTTATTTAGTGGATTTGCTGGTGGAGGGACTGATGTATGTAAAAATCTCCTGAATGTTTTACATTTTATAGAACATAATTTCTTATCGTTTTTTATGGAAAATTCTTGACATGCCTGTTTAGTCGATGCTAGTCATATTGTTCATATGCTTGTCTCGAGCAGATAGTGATTTACTACAGTCTGCAAGAAAAGAAAATAAAACTGTATAGGCATTGTACAAAGTTCTAACTGTTCTTTATTCTGCATCCTTGTAGATTTTGCATGTTTCTTTTATTCTCTTGTCCTCAGATTCCAAAGCAAATTTGTAATGGAATTTATTTTGGTCCAGTCCAAAGTGACCTGCAGTTACAATGCTGTATTCTCACATTTCATATAGATGGTTAACCATCATATATGACAACCTTATCCTACATTTGTAACGTATTTTGTTATTCAGTAACACCATTGAGCTTAATCTCGTCTAATGCTAATTGTATTACCTTAGTTATAGGTTGAGCCTCTCATATATCTGGTTGTCAAGTAAGTATGTGGCTTTGGTAAGTCTAGGATGCAATCCCAACTTTTATTAATCATAATTGTCATGTCTTTAAGTGAAGGCCTTGTAGACCTATCCTCAATCGTTATTGGTTGAACTCAGGTCTTTAACAGTTTATTTACATATTGTCAGATGAAGAACTTAATCGAAAAGCTTTGGCATGGTCTACATTTTTTGGTCCATCTCATGTTATCATTTGATTAACTTAAATGTGGCTTTTTTATTTGGATTATTCACATTTCTTTTCTTATCTGTAGTCTGCTTCTTTATGAACTAAATACTGATTCTGTTGTTTGGTGGGGAACAGTTCTTTAAGAACATGTTTCACAGGGATTTTGGCGGACAAGACATCAAGGTTCTCTTTCACCTTTTTGTTTGACTATTGCTACCTCAGATGCTCAAATTTGATTTCTTTTCTTTTTGGTTTTCTGATCAATTCAAGTTATCTGTGACTATCTTCCTTGCCAGGTGCCACTAGAAATATCGTTCATGGAAGCAGTCCAAGGGTGCACTAAAACCTTGAAATTTCAGGCTGCTGTACCTTGCGAAGCTTGTGGTAGGCTGTCTATTCTTTGTGAATAAAACCCTTGCTGAATGCAAACGTCTAAAGCCAATATTTTCATCAAACTTTATTGATCCGTTTGTATACTTATATTTTATTTGTAGGGGGAAGTGGAGCCCCTCCTGGAACTAAACCTGAAACTTGTAGAGGTTGTAGAGGCTCAGGAATGGTGAGACACTTTTGGTTCTGGAATGGTTAGATGCAGTGAACTCAGTGGCAATTCATGCATGGCTGCTAAACTTTTTTTTATGTACAGACTTTCATGCAACAAGGGCCCTTTAGGGTGCAGAGGACCTGTTCAGTCTGTGGTGGTGATGGAAAAATTATCAAGGTATAGATTTTTTGTGTAATTTTTATGTGATTTTCCGCTGATAGTCTAGTAAGGGATTCAGGAATACAAAGTATTGTTATTTTTTTCATTTTTAGAAATATCACAAAGGTTTAAGTAATGGATAAATTCTTTATAGTATATGAAGATCTTTCTACTATTTGTTGTTGAGGAAAAATTGAACAATTAAGGATGCTCGTGCTATTTCTTGTTGCAAAGAATTTGATGAGGATACTTCTGAACTGTGCTTACCTGAGCCTATAATTTTCCTTCAAGTGTGTTGGATTGCCTAGTATCCGAGTATTGTCTGTTTTTATATCCTTGGCTTTCTTACTGCAATATGTATGTCTGTGTTAACGTGGCTTTATGTTGTAAATTGTTGGCAGAACCTTTGCAAGTCATGTGGTGGACAGAAAGTTGTGCTAGGAACCAAATCAGTAAGGCTCGATGTGATGCCTGGTATGCCTATAGCAGATTGTTGTATCTGAATGTTGCTTTATATTATTCTTGTTGTGCATAATCATACATACTCCACCTTAACGTGTTTCATAATATATTTTGTTTATGCATTGACCTGTTTCTTGAGTCAGTTCATTGTTTTCTAGAGTCACTGTTCTGGTATTTACATTGCTTTCGCAGCTCATATGACTCAGTTTCTCAATTTCTTCAATACTTTATTCATCTCCACCACCCTTTCCTCCTTTGTCCTTCACATATGTTAGTATATTAGTTATCAGGTGTACAAGATTCTACATGTTCGTCCTCTTTTCTCTTCTTTTTTTATTTTATTTTATTAAACTCTCCTCATTTGCTAATTATGCAAGTCGTCCAATATGCAGGGGTTGATAATGATGACACTATTAAAATTCATAGGAGTGGTGGAGCAGATCCTGAAGGTGGTCAACCTGGTGACCTTTATGTTACTATAAAGGTTGTATGCCTTATTTAACTCCACAATCATATAATTCATCTGGAAGCAAGCCATTAAAGCCGCTTTTTCTTTTTCCAGGTTCGAGAAGATCCAGTTTTTAGGAGAGAGAGGTCTGATATTCATGTTGACGCTGTCCTGAATGTTTCGCAGGTAAAACTATAACCTAGTCTGCAAAGAGCTGCTGAAATTTAGGGTGCAAGTATTTGCATGTCTATGGCTTTGTGAGCAAGACATCATTCTTTTGTGTAGGCAATCTTGGGAGGAACCATACAAGTCCCAACTCTTACGGGGGATGTCGTCCTCAAGGTCTGATTTGATTCGCCATTTCATTCTAAAGCCTGCCTATTTGTAATTTATATCCAGTGCTAGAATAACATATATCATGTCTCTTTACACATGGTTTCTTACAAAAAGACGCAGAATCTTTTGAGTAGTTTCTGACAAATGTTTCTACCTGTTTACAGGTTAGGCCAGGTACTCAACCAGGCCAGAAAGTTGTCCTAAAGGGAAAAGGTTAGAAAATCCAACGCAGTTGGACTTCTTATTTCGAGAAAAAAATATATTTCTAGAAATACTTCAATGAATATCATTTTGTGTTTGAGTGAAGTTTTCCTGCTATTCTCGTGATTTCTTGCAGGAATAAGGACAAGGAGCTCTGCAGTGTATGGCGACCAATTTGTTCATTTTAATGTTTCTATCCCTAAGTAAGTTTCTCCATCACTCCCAGAATTATTGAGTATTGAGGAAAAGCAGTATGGCAGTTGATTTTAAAATGGTACTGTTTGTGCAGTAATTTGACACAGAGGCAGCGAGCGCTGATTGAGGAGTTTGCAAAAGAGGAGCAGGGGGAATATGATAAGGGAGAAAAGGCAGCAGGAGCTTCAGGATAATAGATAATTTCACACTTGGGTAATGATGTAGTAAACCAATTGGTGTAGCAAAAGCTATAGGAGAAAATGCAAGGCTCTTCCTGGCTAAATTTTTGTAAGGGGTACATTTATTCTTACTCACATTATGATGATATATGAAGCCTTAGTTCCAATTTCAATATTGTTGCCTTGGCTATTAATTGACGACATTTCTACATTGATGTTGGGATTTGTACATATGCTGACAATAATGAGTGGGTTACCATTCTGGACATTGTTTGTGATTGTTAATATGCAATCAATTATTGTTATGTTTAATGATCCTGTGTGGTATTATCTTCTGTGAATCGATCTGTTTTCAATTTATCAGGACCTCGTATTACTACGAACTAATCAATCTCAAGCAATGACATGGATTTTATATTTTTATTTGTCGAGGAAAAACTGCAACTTCGGCTTACTTTCTTGTATGAGGGCATATTATCAGAAGAAGCCAATGTTAACGAAATATTTATGCTTCTATGTTGGTTCTTATTGAGTGAAAAAAATATTTTTAAACAGCTGCAGAAGATGGATGAGTAAACCATGAAGGTGCTGTTTGGCCACGGGTTAAGTGAGGGGTTAAGGAGACTTAATCCCTTTTTAACCTACCAAATACAAAAAATTATAGAAGTATTAAAGTGAGTTAAACGCAAAGAATGCATAATGGTTAAGCTAACCCCTCTAAAGGGATTAAAATAGGTTAATCTCTTAGGCCCCGTTTGGCAAAGGGTTAATGAATAGGGGTTAAAGAGAATGATTAATATACTTAGCCCATTTGATAATCCAAATGACTAAATTATTAACCCGTTAAATAAGTTTTATTTTAGCCCTTATGATCAGTTTTAGTGTTTGGAAATAACAATGATTTTGACTATTTTCTTTATAATTAGAAGGGTTAACTCTTATTCCATCTAAATAGGAGTATTAGTAAACCCCTCATTTTGAGGGGTTAACTCATTTTAACCCCTCTAGAGAGGTTAACTTAACCCTTCTATATTTTTTATGTTTGGTAAATTATGGAGGGTTAACTCACTTTAACACTTATATAGATTTGTTGTGTTTAGCAGGTTAAGAAGGGGTTAAGTCTCCTTAACCCCTCACTTAACCCTTTGCCAAACGGTACCTTAGAATGAGTGGTTTAGTAATTCTCCAATTTAGAAGGATTAAGAATTAACCTCTCTGTTTATAAAGAAAATAGTTGAAATGCTCGTTATTATCAAATACTAAAACTGATCACAATAGCTAAAATAAAACTTATTTAACAGGTTAATAATTTAGTCATTTGGGTTATTGAAGGGGCTAACTATGTTAATCTTTCTTATTAATCCATCTTCCTTAACCATTTGTCAAAGGGAGCCGAAAGCTATATTTGCTTAGTGCATAAAAGTTGATTAGTAAAATTTGGTCAGGAGTGGATACGTAAAGCATTTCTTACACATTTTATAAAGGGAGATCTTAGAATGGGGAATAGTATTACATTAAGCGATCTCTTCTACTTTATTTTCTTTTGATCATGTTTCTTGTAAAGAATCACAATAATACATTGTTCTGTTATTTTCATCCCCACCCCAAAACTTTGGAGTGTTTGCAACAAAGTCCCGTGAACTTGATTTCTCGCCCAAGTCTCGTGAACTTTGGGGCGTCTCACAAAACACATTTTTGGGCTCTAGATATCTACACGTCTAAAGGTCTCATCACGGCATGCACTATAATTAATTGAGGGATTTCCACGGCAGTGAGTTTGAATGGTTCCAATAAAATTAATATCGCCTAAATAAATGAATCAATACCAAATCAGATCCAATAATAAACTAAAGTCTATTTAATTGATTAACCATCATTACAAGACAAAATGATACAAAAAATAATAATTAATGCTTAGCCACCTGATAATCCTACCATACACATCTCTACACCATGCAACAACAGGACAGGAATAGAAATCCGATCATGTAATTACAATACATACTGTACTAGCTCTTTAGCTCCATCTATAAGTGCTTGAATCAGAATCAGCGTGCTCAGATATGTGAAGATCATCATCAATTTCTTCAATAAAAACATTAGAAACGTTTTTTTTTATTGCGAGATGATGTGTCAATTTGCCATTTTGTATAATATCGAGATGAAGTGCTATGACACCTGATGGAGTAATAAGTCATGGTTTCTTCTGTTGGTT